AACGTAAAGTAAACGTAAGAAACGTAAGTTAACGAAGTAAGAAGAAGAAGAAGAGAGAGAGAGAGAGAGAGAGAGAGAANGAGAGAGAGAGAGAGAGAAAGAGAGAGAAAAGCGGGGGGATGGGGTTCCTAAATTCTGACCAAAGGAAATTCTGTAGCAGCTCAACTGATGCAAGGATAATAAATCATTGTACAAGACTCGAACTTAAATAGCTGCGCTCGTAAATTCTAACTAAACAGAAATCTGTATCCAACTTATTAAGCCAGCAGCTCAACTGATACCAGGATAATAAAACATTCTGTACCAGAGTCATAACTTACATAACCGAGAATACATCCCTTTTCCAGGACCTCCAGCAGAGAAAGAGCCGCCTCCTCCCATAAGTATCTGGGACCAGAAATGACAACTAACATTAAAACATTAACTCGGATTTTGCAATGTGACTAATAATACAAGGAATGCAGGAAATGAATATCATCTAGTTTATTCTGGAGCATAAGACAATTACAAGTGATTTCGTAATAAAAACACAAAAAAGGGAACAAAAACTGAAATCATTTTAAACATGGAAAACAAACCAAAAGGCAAAATGAAACCGCAGAACCTGAAGTACAGTCAATGTAATGGCTTCCTTCTCCTTCAGCCAGCCTCCAGGAACTTCAAAAGCAAGTGCCACATGGGTCCTCTGCTCCAGACAGCAAGGACAAAGAAAGACAAAAAAATGAGGAACATAAATGAACAAATACCTATACAAACATCTAAATAATCCAGCTGAAAGAGGTGAAGTATTCTTTATGCATACCGGTGAGTCAGCCTGACAGCGATAATCACCTCCAACATACACAGACGTAGGGACCTCATGAGGAGGTACTTTAGGTAAGTCTGACAAAAGAGGCTCTGCAATCGATACCAATTCCTCATGATCCACTCCTGAAGCAGCCAATACCATACGAGGTGCAGTGTAGTTCTCCTGCAAATTCCCATGTAAAAGGTTGAGATATCAAATAACATTGCCAACAAATATTGATCAAAAACTCATTTTTAACTCGGAAAAACTCGCCAAATCAACTTGTCAGTCACCATGTTTTATGAATGGAAAAGACCTGAGTAATTACATATGCTATTTTGTTTGTTATTTTGACCCATAGATGGTAGTTGCTCACATGGAAAGTATTGGTATTGACATAGCGACAAGCTAGGACCATAATCCCATTTCAAAAACCTATTTCTCAGGGATTAGAATAAAATTTGAAAACCTTCTCCAAGTTTCTTTGAGTTGACTGTTTAACTCAGTGAATCGAGTTGGGCTTGATTTGAATGAGTCAGTCCCCCGAGTTCAAGTTTTGGAAAACTGCCTACATATATGGTAGTTATGTATAACAAAATATGGATCAATAGGACTTACAGCAACAAATTCCTCCAAAATTGTGCTGTTTAATTTGTTCAATGCAGATTCTGGAGCCAATAAAGGATTCGCCAATGCACCAGAATAACCAGCTGAATGAATTGCCTCCAAAAGCAAACCCTGTGGATTATTGGAAATTTCCCCTATCTCAGATTTCACCTTATTCAACTGCAGCACCACATAAAAAAGTAGATATGGTCAAAAATGGCAACAATAACTCACCAATAAGAAGGAGAGGATCAACAGTACACAAGCTGCGTACCTGCTCACTAAGCTCCCAGTCAAGGAAAACGGGATTTCTAACACAATCAATCAGCACTTCTACCATTTCAGGCAAATAGGTTTTCAGAGCATCATAAGAATATCCCATCTGCTCACGTGAAGCCGACGCTGTAACATTACCACCAATGGCTTCTACCTCTCGTACAATACGAAGATGGCTTCGGTTTGTTGTACTTTTAAATGCCATTCTCTCCAACAGGTGTGTAGCTCCGATAGAATATGGTGTCTCATACACAGAGCCGCAGTCAACATAGAGCCCAATTGAGGCAGCTGGATTCTGTTCGATAAATTCATCTAGTAATGATGAAATGAAGGATAAAGCAGTAAAACTCCTTTACATGAACATTAGATATGTCAAGCTCCAAAAATCCATACCGTTGATGCTTCAGAGGCAATCTTTGCACCATTGGGTAGAGTTGTAATCTTTGTCTTGCCTGGTTCAACATAGTCAGGCAAAGGAGGTGGAAGCGTAACACCTGGAAGAGGAACATCTAGAGGTGCAAGAGTACTGGATTTCTCGCCTGTAAGCCAGCTGAAAAAGCCCCCAGAAGTTGATCTTTTGGCAACTTCTGTACTAGCAAATCTCGCAGCAGCCAGACCCTGAAACCAAACATTATACCATAAATTTCAAACAAATCCAAATCCCATCCTTAAGAGACATTTATATGCTGAATATTTTATGCGAAATTTTGTATATTGCCGAGGACTGCAGAAAAAAATAGTCCGTATGTTCACCACCAGGGTTTTAAAAATTGGGTAAAACCAGATTTGCCCAGTTCAACCCAGGACCAGTTGGTGGGGGACAATCCAGGTCTAGGGAATCCCAGGACTGCAAAATCCCACCATCGGTTTTCAACTTATTTATTTTTTTAGTTGAATCGATACACCGATCTTGATCAATGAATTGTCGATCCGCAATGGTGCAATGGTAATTGATGCCCTGACAATTCAAGGCACCGAAATGATGTTTAAAACCCTGGCAATACTATTTATTTGAAAGGGTGAATGATAAAAACGCAATGGAGAGGGGAAGGAGGTCCACCAGAACAAGACATAATGCTAATGGTGAATCCCACTCTTTCGCCATCACCATGTATTATTTTGATGGATGGGGATAAGTGTAACTGATATGATATTTTCGTACTCGATAGGTCTATAGGATACTTTAACTAATGCATACGCAAACCTGCAGAGCGAAAGCACTCAATTGTTCCATGCATACATATAATCAAATTGATAGTACATGCATAAAAGAAGCACAAAAGACAATGTTGTGGGACATGCACAGTAGTCCAATACACAGAAGGAAAGTGTAGCAGAAAAGTTTTTTCCTCCATCAATTTATTAACAGTTTGATAGGAAGCCACAACCAATGATGCAAGTCTTAGCTCCACAAATCTGGGCTACAAAGACAAAACCCAGAATAAATGCAACCTAATGCACCGTCAGTGCTTACTCCCTGCAAAATGCAGAAAGTTTCAAAGAAACTAAAGTTTTTTACAATACCACATTTGCAGAACCCAACATCTCAAGCAAAAACATAACTTGATTGTTATATGCCAAAAACACCCCATGTAAGGTCATTACAATGGTGACCAGGAAAACAATTAAGCCCATGGAACTGTAGATCCTTCTCTCTGGCAATAAAGGGCACCTGAAAGCCCCAAATAATCAAGGAAAGAGCACAAAGATCCCATAACATAAAAGCCAAATAAAACAGCATGCATAAAGAAATATTCACTCTGATGCACTCCCTATCTATCTCTCATCACTTCATTATCTTCTCTACAGTTATGCGATCATATGAAATTCTCATCAAAGTAAATTTTGAAGTAGAGCCAAGAAGTTGCTGCAAGGGATTCAATATCAAAATTGTTCATATAAAAGTGGGAAGTCCATCCCATTATTAACCTGGGGGATTCATCTTTTTCAAAGAAGAATAACCTAGGGATTCACTCCGGGACACATTTGTTCGAGTTAAGAATTTGATAAGTTCTTTCAAGATAACTTTAGAGCTACCCTCTACAGCCTGTTTAGTTGTTCCTCCTCACCAATGCTATAAATCCCATTTTATCGACAACCATATGATTCCTATCCCTAACCCATCTTGCATCATAATCTAAGAGTTTTTTTTTTTTGTTGGGTGACTGTTAACATGGGACCTTGGTGGAAATGGAACTCTAGACATCACATTGTTGCACCCGCCACCATGATCAACAATGACAAGAGCCAGTACTGAAATCTCAGAGCTTCTAACTCCACATTTGTTTGGCTTCCGCCGTTTTTTTAGGTTTTTCTCTTTCTGCAACCGACTTATGGGTTAAAATCCCCTGAAAAATCAATTATGACCTCCCCCGCTGAGAACCTAGTGCAATACATCAAGGTAGATGAAAAGGAGTACACTCTTAGCCTTCCACTTCAGAAACTTCAAAGAGGGAGATATTTTTTCTTACAATGTTACATTTTTTTTTATGCTTACGATGTTACATTAATGCATCTGTAGCATAGTTGTTGGGATCGAAAACGGAAGCGGGAACGGTATCAGGATCGGGATCGGGAGCGAGGGATCGTGAATTGCTAGAAGATACCTGTAGTTGGGAACACCGTCCGTACAATGCACATTTTAGGGATCGAGATTCCAAAATGTTAGGAATTGAGATTCCAACCTTTGAATATCTTGATCCCGGCCTTTTGGCAACTTTATCCCAATTATTTGGGGATCTTGTTACCAACCTTAAAGTGTATGATAATCTAGGATTTATGTATACTCTTCAAAGTGATAATCTTATTATTGATAGCAAGCAAGTAATAGTTTTGTTGCTAGTTGGCTATAAACAACGAAAATCATCATTTTGGTCGTTGTCTTGGTCTTTAAGGTTGGGATCGGGATCCCTTTGAGTGGGGTTCGAGATCCCAAAATTTAAAAATCGAGATTCTTGAAAGATCCATTCCGGGAGTGACAGAATCGAGATCCTAGAAGGGATCTTCTACCAAAGTAGGAGATCCCGGTGACTATGATCTGTAGTGAAGCCGGGCCATGGACAATAAGGAATTAACCTGTGGATGATGAATCAATGGATTTTACATAACATTAATGTATAATTCACAATGAGTTTTCACAAATTATAGCAATGAAGGATATGTGGGTTTCCCTTAAGCAAGCATATCAACAAACAAATGACATAATGTGTTATAAACTTGAACAAGACATGGTATCAATCACTCGAAATTATTTTACCATCCAAAGTTCTAACGCTTAACTCAATTTGTGGACAAACATATAATATTCTTGTTCATATTCAAAGGAAGCTATGATACCTTATCCAGAAATGAAAAATAAGTGAAGCAATAATGGACCGTTTGATTGCAAAATTTTGTCAAATGGTTTGGTTTTTCCCCCCATCCATAATTGCCCAAATGGAAACTTGGTCAATTGTCATTTGCTCACTATGGGTGTTTGATAGTTATAATTTGAATAATAAATCAGTATTATGTAGTACGATGATAGTGGTGGTAGTGATGGCGTAATAGTGGTGGTAGTAGCAATGGAATGCTAGTGGCTGTTGTGGTGGAGTAATGGTGGTGGCGACGGGTTGTCATTCTTGGAATGGTGGTGGTGGCAGGTAGGCGATGATGGTAAACCAGGCTGAAAAGGTGCTGGACCAGGGCGGACTAGGCCAGACGGGGCCAAATACAATTAAAACAAAACAAAAGAAAAAGGAAAAGGGACCAGGCCAGACCAAACTAGACCGGCCCCATCATGGCCAAGGCCCCCACCCCGCCCTTGGGCCATAGTGACCCAACCCTAGGCTGGCCCTTAGGCCACATTTTGTGGCTCCAGCACTAGGTTTTTTAATGCCAGGTTGGGACAACCAGCCCATTGCAAGCCCTAGCCCCTACGTGGTGGTGATACACTAATGGTGGCGATGGTGGCTTGCCGATGGTGGTGGTGGCAATCGCTGCTAGGTAGTGGTGGTAGCAGTCGCAGCTAGGCAGTGGTGATGGTGGTGGTGGTGCAGCTACACAGTACAGTGGTGGTAGAGTGGGTGGTGGAGCAGTCATGCCTAAGCGGCGGTGTGGTGAGTGGGTGGTGGCTATGCAGTGATGGCAGCAATGGTGATGTTGAGGGTTGGGAAGAAGGGGGGGTGGGGAATGAGTGTTTGTGAGAATGTGTTGTTGCGATACTTCCTGAATGCCCTTGACTCTGCTGTTGCAAAAAAATTGATTTAGGGCCATAATTGCAGTTGGGAATCAATTCAAATTTGTGAATCAAACATCCTTTGGTGTCAAATTGTTTGGCGATAAATTTTCAAGAACAAGTTGGCTTGGAAACCAAATGGTGCTTAAACTGTTCTTAAACGCAATTAGTGATTACAGACCCGACCAATAACTTCTCAAGGTCTGTTGACTGGTTCGAACCTAAAAACAGTGCTTCAAACTCTTCCAATATCAAAAGACTAGGCACCATATGATTTCCTAGCCAAATTCCAATTTGACCGATTTGATAATTTCTCACCATCAATTTGACCTTGAAGATAGTTTAATTCGCTAATTGGAATTAATTCCTAATTACAATTGGACCCCAAATTGAATTTTTTGAAGAACAGCTTTGACTTTTTTTCAAAAAACAGCTGCCTGGCAGCCACCACCACGCTGCCGCCTAGCAGCCACTTCAGCCGGCAACACCATCACCTTAATACAACAACCACTACCGCGCCATCACCACTATTCTAGCTCCTCCAACACCACCTACCCACCTCCACACCACTCTAGCTCCTCCAACACCACCTACCCACCTCCGCACCACTCTAGCTCCTCCAACACCACCTCCGCACCACTCTAGCTCCTCCAACACCACCTACCCACCTCCGCACCACTCTAGCTCCTCCACCACCACCACCACCGTCAACATTGTACCACCATCTCCACCGCCACCATCATCGCCACCACCACCATCTTATCACCACTACCACAACACTACCACCACCACTACTCTACCTCCACCACCACCTCCATTGCCACCACCGCCACTGCCACCACCAACACCACTTCACCAATGCCGACCTACCATCACCACCACCACTATTCCACCACAACAAGAATAGTTTAAAAAGCGGTCCGCCCAGCACTTAGGGGCATTGCACAGGCCTGGGCAGACCAACTAGGCAGGCAGTCCTTGGGCACCCACCTAGGTGCAAAACTACCATCAGGTGGGCCAGTTTGGTATTTTTTGCTTGGATTATAAAAAATATATAAATATGCATTTTTATTCATGCATTTCTTATACAAAATCTGGACCTAAAACAGGATCCTAGACACCCCTTGCCCCATTTCAAACCTTGGCCTCCCAGATCCCGGGCGCCCACCTAGGCGCTAGATAGCCTAGACCTCCGGGCATTTTTTTGAAAAATTAATCACAACCACCACTATCACCACATCGCAGCATAATTAGTTCCACACTATGCCACCACCATCACACCATCACTACCACCATCACCATCACACCACATAATAACTTATAATTCAAATTGTAATAATCCAACGCCCACATAGAACAAATGACAATTGACCAAATTGTCATTTAGTCAATTACAAATTGAAAAAACACCATTTGACAAAATTTTGCAAACAAATAGTCGCTAAGAAATCACAATCCAACTAATACTATCTATAAACCAGTGTTCGTAATATCGAACAGGAACGGTTAACCAAACATGGGCCTGGAAGCAGTTTAACTGGCCTAAACGGTAAACTGGTCGATTCAACCGCTCTAATCGGGCAAGTCCCGGGCAGTCAAAAAGTGTTGAAAACAATAAAAAAGATACAAAAAAATAATCTACTAAAATATGAAAAGCATATAAAGAATGATTAAAACAAAACACATTCAAATGAAGTTGAAAATTAATGAAAAAAATGGATTTTAACGAAGCGATTTGTGCCTAGGGGTATTTTTAATTTTTTTTGAAAAAGATGGAAAAATATAAAAGTGAGTATTAATGATTAAAACAATTTTTAACCTTTACCATAATGTAAAGAATATTAAAAAATACATTACAAATCAAATTCCTAATTTTTTAGAATTTATATATATTTTTAAAAAAAAATTAATACCGGTTGATCACCAAAACCGCCCAAAACTGGAACCGGCATTCGCAAAACCGAGCAATCTAACCGCTAACCGAGGGGTTTTGGTGATCAACCGGTATTAAATTTTAAAAAAAAAAAAACATCACCCACTTTGACACTTTACACATGAGATCCTATGCCATTTACCTCAAGCAACCCATCCCAAAACCTAAAAAGTATAGAACCGAAATTCACGTGAAGGGGGTGGAAATGTATTAAATTTAAGAGATAAGTTAAATTTAAGACAATTTCAAAGGAACCATCCAATAAAATCCATAATTGGGTGGGAGCACTGTAGTTGATAACAATCCAACTTACCCAAAACATTAAAAGAACAGTGTGAACTATGACGGAACCCGACATCTTACACCCCTTTTGAAAAGACACTGCGCCACCTTCCTATGGACAAAATATATTAGCAATCATGTCAAAAGAAACCCTAAAATTCCCTCACAATCATAGTAGACAACGTGTTCAACACTTTAATTACATATACTCATAACATGGAAAATTTGGGATAGTGAAAAACTGAACACTAAGCGTGGTTCTAATCAGTATCTTTATCTCTAGCCACTAAAACAAAGTCCCCTCAAGGAACCTAAACAGAGCTCAACACTTAACCACAAAAGAATAACCACAAGGCACAAAATGGAAAAATCCAACGCAGACAATAGCCAACAACTCTCATACCATTCTTCACTCTCTTGCATAGATCAAGATGCAAGTGCCCTTTGGGACCTCAAGCAAGCTCAACAGAGTCTTTGGCATATTATTCATCAAGTCCCTTCCAAATCCAAACATTACAAGACTTAAAATAATAGGCAAAAACAAAAAATCAACAACCTCATTAACATCCATCTGCTTAAATCAGTAAACCACCCACATTGGCATAAATAATCACCCCTAAACAAAACCAAATGTCCAGCAGATCCCCAAAGTATCCAATGAACTGAAACCACATAAAAGGAAAACTCAAACTATACGCAATCCCACTTCTGAGGTCCAAAACCAGTATACTAGGTAGGCCTTCCAACCTATATAAATCCAAGAACTAAGAATCCTGATTCCCCTAAGTTTCTTAATTGTTATTTTTTTTTGGAGGGGGGGGGGGGTGGAGAATAATGAAAATTCCCCTGAGTTTCCATTCCATCAACTATTTCCCAGTCACTATCTCCCTCACAAGCCAACCAGCTCTTCCCCATAACTCCCAACTGATAGACTAGTTCCCAACAAAAAGCAAACTTAAGCTAGCTTCTTCAGTTAAGATGAAGAATTTCAAGGTAATAGCGCACTTAACAGTCACGCATTGTTGTGCCATACATAATGCAGGAATATAGAATGAGAAGTAAGGGAAAAGATAAAAATCGTATCTGATTTCCATAGATTACTTCACATATTTATACATGTATGTATACATGTATATAGAGAAAATCAAAGGGCTGATGTAATAGAAAGCCCAAGTTTTATTTGAACGGATAGTCTCAAAATGAGACAATGGCAATCATGACCCTTGATGTTGTATTCAAAGTGATGACCTCAAATTTCCGAGCCACATGGTGAAAAATAATGAATGATGAACCCCAATATCTCAGGAAGCAAAAATACTAAACAACTGTTCGTATTGGCAACTGATATCCAGTTGAAATTGAGGTCTTCAATTTCATGAAAAAATAAGAAACGGACAGATCATCAACTATAAATATCATCAAATAATAATAATATTAATAAGAGCAAGAAAATTTTCAATGGCATCCACAAATTTAACCAGAATGTGGAAAAAGTTTTTTTTATGAAGACTGTGGAAAAAGTTCAAGGGAACGCTAAAAATTCAAAAACTGAAGAATTACATTATATAAGTACTGTAACCACGAGCATTAAAGGGAGCAGAACAGTTTCAAAAGTGAAAAAAAATCATATGACTAGAAGGATCCAGAAATCAAATTGTTTGTATTACGACCAATACAAGTGTTCTCCTAATTAACACTGTTTTTGTTATTAGTAAATCGTTTTGCACAAGGCATTTTCACATTCATCAATCAATCTAATGAGAAAACCATTAAAATAATAATAATAAAATAATAATAATCAATGAAGTAAAAAACTTATCAAGAAATTGAACAATAATTGGAGACTTCACGAACTGCAAAAAAGACATCAAACGAGCCCCAGAAATTATCAACTGATGGCGAAAAATCTCACCTTTAGGGATCTGAGGCGTGAAGCCGCGCTTCTGTACATTGCTGCTATCGTACGGATCCCGAAAGCCCTTTAAAATCCTTAAATAATACTCTAAAAAAATTAGAGAGAAAACCCTAGAACGTGCTGGTCTCTGGTTTCAGGAAGGGAATGGGCGAGCACTAAAGCTTTGTTGGTATTAGTACTCCAGCAAGGGCATTTTTGGCAAAGAAGTGGTTCTATGCGGCCAAGCCCGCACATGTAGAAATGCGGGCCTGTAATAAATCTATTCTTTATATGGATTTTAAGACATATAATCTCTAAAATGGAAATCGTCAATGCAAATAAATAAATAAATTTTAAAAACTACAAATAATAATTTTATTAAGAAAATATTTGGATAGTTAGTTTCCATTATTTTTAGATGGAACACCTACTTGCATCCATATTTAAGATAGATGCTTTTCATTTTCTAATATATGTAGAAATTCCATCCAACCCGCATGAAACAATTTTCCCTTCGACAAGGAGAGATTTCATTTACAAATCCGAGCATCGTAAAAAATTTAGCTTTTATGTATGGGTGCAATTGGCATACGGATGCATCTGTAGTTGTAGAGGTAAGGTGCACCTTCAAATTTTATGATAATATATAATTTTGATGTAAAATGTTCTTAGGATTATCTCAATATCTATTTTTATATCTAATTATAAAATTTTAAATGTCAAAAATGGTTAAAATCAATTAGATCTATAAACATATGAAAATCTTGAAAATGAACGATATAGATAATATATTATAAAATACACTATTTCTGAGACTTAAAATCTTTTTATTTTTAGTGGTCATACATCTCGATGTCGAAATGATCAATCAAGGGTTTTTCAACATTAAAACTACCTTTTCCGATGGATTTTTTAGGTGCATCAGTAATTCTACATTATAAGGTTGCATCCTTATATAAACTTTTTCCTTTATGTATTGGAATGGGTTGAGTTGGGTCCGGGTCGAGACTGAGGCGACAATTTACATAATGGACCAAGACTCTGACCCGGCAGCATCCTAGACCATTCTAGCTAGACTAAGATCTAATGGGTGGTAAGAACCAAACCTAGACCCGAACCAACCTTGACTCGGGAGTCTCGGCATACATCATGGTACAAAAGCTAAGATGTTTAATTTTACAATTTAAAATTTAAAATTATTATTTTCATCTTGAAATTATTTGTGTAACATACATGTGAGTATTTACTAAAGGGATTGGATACAATAAGACCATTTATCTTTTAGACAAAATTACAAATACCACATACTAGATTTTCTTTGCAAGTTACCCCCAAACCAAATATTTTTTCTCACTTTTTACCCGAAAATATACTTTCTTAACAAAAACCTTCCCAACCCAAAAAAAAAAAAGTCTAAACTACCTCCATTACTTTTACCCATGCCTCTCTCTCCTCTTTCTCACCAAAAGGCAGTCCAATATATTTTTAGAGTGGTCTGGCAGTGTAATGTCGGTTCAGTAATTAGCAGTGGTAGTCTGGCTGTACAAGTGGTGGTACGGTACTGACAAAGAGCGGTCCGACAATGAGCCCATGCGGTCCAGCATGCGGTCCAGTAATATCAAAGACTTATCTTACACTTTTTTAGTTTAACGGGGTCTGGCAATGTCAAACAGCAGTCCAGCAGCCCATGTGAATGTCCAACCAAAATTAAAATTTTATACACAAAAAAGGGTATTTTCATATAAAAAAAATGTACTTTTTCTTTTACGTGGGGGAATTTGAGAGAATTATATTTTAGGGGGAAAAGTGAGAACAAAAAATTCTTTGGGCGTATTTTGCATAGAAAGTCTAGCCTTGCGAGTTTATTTGTAATTTTCTCCATTGGTCACAATGCTTTACAACTATTTGATGTGAAAATTGATAGCTTGGAAGTGTCAAAAAGTTTGAGAAAATTTATTTTGAAGCTTGAGCTTGATCAATGGAATAATTGCAGCCACCCAACTTTACATCCAATAGTCAAGATTATTGTGACCACCTTGTACAAAAGAATAAATGTCTTATTTTATGCTTTCTCTTTATTAAATATATTCAAAATTTTTTTACATTTAATAATATTTTTTTATAATGTAGTAACTTTTTTTAGGGGTATTTTAGGTAATTATTTAAGGGCAAAAAATAGAAATTCATGATCGAAAGAGTAACATTTATTAATTATATAGAGAATGATATCATCTATATGGGTTTTACATCACCTACATGGAGTATTAAATTCTTATAAAAATATTTATCGTACACCTTTGCTCCAAAATGAATTTTATTACAAAGTAAAGGTAATTAATATTAAAATATATTTAGTACATTTACGAAATGCTCGCATGTATGTGTACCCTAACATAATCCGTAATTAAATTAAGTGGAAGTCTTTGTTAAGTTAGGGTGCGGTTTGTATAAAGCCTAAGCTCTAAACAATCAAATTAGAGCCTACCTTCAAATAGTATCAAGAAATGTGGTTTTATCGCAGGAAATATTTGTGATAGCCTTAAAATACATTTTTATATTTATTTATAAAGTTCAAAGCTTCAAAAATAGGGTAGATCAACATATCTATGAAAACTTGAAAATCTCAAAAATTGACAGTCTAAAAATGCATTACAAAATACACTATTTTCAAAACTTGAAATTCATTTTTTTCTCATGTCCATACATCTTGATGTCGAGATGATCAATTTGAAGATATTTGGGCATCAAAACAACCTCTTCTAGTAAACTTTTTGAGGTGGGCTCAAATTTGATTGTTTAGAGCCTTGGCTCTATATAAACTTTTCCAACTAAGTTAAATGCAATTTTACTATTTGTTCATATGTTAAAAGATCATATAAAACCTTAGGTCAGGTCACATCAAGTCGATTTGAACCCGTACCCAGACCCAAACCTGATCCAATTCATAATCAGGTCCATGCTTTTGAACCGATATCTCTCTCGGGTTGATCTGCCAAATGGACCCGATTGGCTTTCTAGCCCTAGGTAAAACCTTTTGAATGGGTCAAATGCTGTAATAGAAGGAGGGATTATTTTTTCTCTATTCATTTCACTTAGGTATCTCCCATAAAAAAAAAAATATTTATTTTTTTCAAATTGCTTTTGATTAACATGGGAAAGAGAGGCATGTCAGTAATATGACTCAAGAGGCTCTTATGATGTATTTGCATGTAATTCTCTTGGAGTAGAGGACGTCAGTTTTATTTAAAACACAATATGCTTTGGATCATTCCTTGCTCCTTAAAAGTAGGAAAGAATTAATCAATTTTGGTTGAATAGGAATTTATCCTTTCTATAGTTTCCTTGGATGCACGGGATTTTGATAATTTCTTACTTTTAAATTTTTCTTTATTAATTTTAAGCTTTCTTTATTTTTATTATTCAATCAATTAATCTATACACTAATTTTTTTAGTTACAAATTTTTACTTCTTTTCCCTCTAGAATTTAGGGATCACAAAAATAAGTTATTTTACATAATAGAGTCATAATAAAAATAATTTATTTCCATATTGGACAGGTTTAAAGTTTATGGTTACTCTAATTTTTTTATTTCTAGTAAAAAAAAAAGAAATATGGCACTTTTGCTTTTACTTTTATTTAGTAAATTATTGCTTACAATAATCTAATACAAAACTTAAATAATTTGGGCACACTTGTGCATTGCACACGCCATATAACAATATTGTTAAAAAAAAAATTATACTCTCATGTGAGCAAATTGTAAATTTGTTTCTGACCATGTTACTTGCTCAACGTAGAGAGTAACCCAAGAAAGGGGAAATACCATAAAAGACCCTTTATATGAATAATCAGGGAGTGACAACATCCTAATTAACATTACAGGTTTTATTTATTATATTTTTTGTTTTCCTCCTTAAAGAACACCTTCAGTAGTGCCCAACATTACAGGTTTTATTTATTATATTTTTTGTTTTCCTCCTTAAAGAACACCTTCAGTAGTGCCCAAGTTGCACTACTGAAAAATAGGAAGAATTTTACTAATTTGACCCACACCAGAGGCACCAATAAAATTACACACTTTTATTAATTTGACACACACCAGAGGCACCAATAAAATGACAAAATACCTGAGGCATTTCAATAATTTGACTAACTTAAGAGGTCCCAACTAACCGACAAGAGTACCATGCTTGTTCAAAGTAGCTTAAACAACTAAAATGCCATGGTTTCAACTTTTTTTTAAGGTACTTTTTGAAGAAGTCCCTGAGTGAATGAAAATTAAAAAGTAAACCTTCTAATATTAATTGAGATCTTTTAACATTTTTAATGATTTTGTAAAACGTTTTGACCCCTCAAAAAATCTCTCTTGAATAATTCATTACACACACTCTAGAATTGCCTTAAAAGGAAATCACGTTATAAAATTAAGAGAGTATATAATGAGACCATTTACTTTTGGTACAAAATGGTCACAATTAATCTTTACTATTGGATGTGAAATTAGTTGGTTGTACGCAATTGTTGTTTCCCTATACCAAAGGTAAATGGTATTATTCATATAATTCCTAAGATTAAATAACTAAAAAAGTGCTTTTTTAAAAAAAAAATGTGTGGCTTCCATAAGGTTGCAACCTTAAACAATCTAATTACAGCATACCTCCAAATTTTATCATGACATATAATTTTGATGTAAAAAATTATTAGGATTATCTCAAAATCTGTTCTCATATCTAATTATATAATTTAAAACTCTAAAAATTATTCAAATCGAGTAGATCTATAAACATATGAAAATCTTGAAAATAGACGATCTAAATAATGCGTTGCAATGTGCACTATTTCTAAGACTCTGAATCTTTTTTTTTTCATATTCATACATCTCGATGTCGTGATGATTTATTAAATGACTTTTCAACATTAACAAAACATTCTTCGATAGACTTTTTAGGTACATATGTAATTCTACATTTTAAGGTTATAACCTTATATAAACTTTTTTCTTTAAATAATCATATGGTGGTTCTAAAATGAACCTAAACATGTAAAATCAAGAAAATCCTCCACAGTTCACACGTTGGGCCGATAAGCCATGGGCTTTTCTATTATATGTTCAGGCGAGGCCGGGCCATGACTTGGCCGACCCGAGCCCAGACAAACGAGAACCAGCCCAGGCCAGCTAGCAACCGCATGAAAGGGCTCTGGCCCTGTTTAGGCTGGCTCGGCCACCCAGCCCACTTATAAACACTCTTGCTTTTATGCCTGGAGGGGGGAGAGAGCCTCCACTTAGCCACGCATACTGGTTGCTACTCTGTTAAACAGAAGGAAAAAAATAAAGGCCCAAGGCAAATACTTTGAATCAATATCTATTACGGATTTTCAACTCAATACAAAAATGAAAAACCTGTCAAGTTACTAAATTACAACCAAAGTCCTCCGCAAACACCAAGTCCAATCAGTGCAGTTGATTCTTGCAGTTTTCAACTCTAAAGAACAAAGTGAAACCTTCCACCCTGCAAAAATACTCAATGAAAGCTCAAAAAGGGTTGGTCATGACTCTAATCTCTCTGTCTCTCTCTCTCTCTCTCCGGTGTAAAATTCTTTCCAACTTCAAGCAACGGAAATAGGAATTCCCAAATTCTCACAGTGGAGGGAGACCTTTTCAGAGATCGCTTTGATCTCTTTCAGCCGCCCCTCAATGAACTTTTCCATCTCTTCTTTTCTTTCTCTTTCTCCAGACTCATCTTTCTGTAGAACTCCAGTTTCAATCTCTGGACTCACCTCACCCTCAAATCGCACCATGACGAATGTCTTGTCATGTCCACATTCATTCTGCACATCAATCACACACTTCTTCATAGCACTTATCTCACCCCTATCAAATGTCTCAGCTTCAACTTTTGCAGCTAGCCAGGCCCTGAAAATCTCAGTGCTTGCACTTATCTTGTAGAAACCTAGAAAAAGAAGAACTTCCCAGCACTGCAAAAACTGTTTCTTGTATATTTTCAGCTCTTTTCTGACTTCTCCAACCAAACTTTTAGGAGGGAAATATTTGAATGCAATAGAACTATTTTGTGGCCTCTCCTCCTTAAGCCTAGAAAAGAGAGATGAAAGAATAGTTTTGAGAGGCGCAAATGTGAGAAGCCGAATTGTATCCATGCAATCACGAATGTTTTGGAGGTGTTCCGAAGGCTCCTCAATTGTAATATCAAACATATTTCGTGATACCGCAATAGTGTTCACAGCCTCAAGAAGGTGGCGCCCATACCCTTTGCCCTGATAAGGAGGTAAAACAAGAACCTGCACCATAAGGTTGAATAGTCAATACTCAATGGTTTACTCTCTCTTTCTCTCTCTCTCTTTCTTCCTTTATACATATATATATATATATATATATACACACACATGCACAATGACCTGGCAGCATGGCCCAACTCTAGAACAATAAGTTAAATAAAGAGGCCTTTAGAGCTGAGATTTATTGCCCTCCTGATCCCTTGATGTAGGGTTGAATAAGGAGAGAACTGCATGTATTTTCCTAAAAATAAATATTTTTTTCCTTTAATTCGAGACCATTATTTTTCTGTGCAGGGAGAAATTGGCCACAAGAGAGAAAGAGAGAGAGAGAGAGAGAGAGGGTCATGGAGTTACATGGCCTCAGACTTAAAGGTTAACCACCCAGATCCGAATAATAAAAAGTTTCACATTGAGAACGAGATGCCAACTACTAGAGCAGAAACCAAAACTATAAATTTCATGCTTCTACGCTGTTGACAAAAGTCACAAAACAATTTTTCTCAAATTGTACGGTTACTACTCTATAAATGAGAACAAATGAATTCTTACATTGGAATTTTTAATTCACATAAAAATTTCGCAAAAGTAAGAAACCATATTTTTTTCCAAATTAAGCTTCTGCTCAGCCACTAATGCTTTGAATTGATAATGCCTTTAAGAAACTGCAACTTACCCTTCGTAAGAGTGCAAAAGTGTTGGTAGGAAGAAAAAAGTAAATGCTTTTGGTCAGCCATTGAAAGTGTTCTGTCCATCTCTAAAAAATGTTATAGAATCTAGATGGTAAGAAAATGACAGTATTCTCCAAAATATACATGGCAAAAATTACATTTAGATGGAGAAAATGTATTGGCTCGAGAACGAATATGATGCTAGGTGCATATCATTAAAGAGGAGGGGGATTTGTGATTGGTATGTATAAAGATGAAAGTAGGAAGCATCAAGAGAGAGAGAGAAACTATATTAGCATCACTGCAAGAGAGAGAGAAATTGACCTGGCCAATGCGTAAGCGAGAAGTATCTGGGTAATGATAGAAACTGTAGATGGTAGCGAAACCCAGTAGTCTATGATGGGTGTTCCCTGAACCATCAACTTTCTTCTTGACAATGAGGAGCATTTCCCACTTCGGATCGTCGAGGTCTATTGGACTGCTGCCTGTAAAGCAGAGGGTTCAATATTTTACAGTTCACTGCACACACTTGCCACTGAACCTTCTATGTTTAGTTAGCAAAATTTTTTATTCTCAGGAATTTTTTGGTGAGATAATTTTCTGGCACATTTTCAAAGTTATGGCTGTCCTCAGGAAATTCTAAGAAAATCGATTCTCTCAAAAAGCTACTTAGAAAATCTCGATTAAACTAAGAATCTTGTGATATTTAAGAAAAATAGGTTTCTTTAAACTAGTGGTGCAAATTCTTCAAGTAGATAATCACTAGTAACTTGATCTTGTACGCAAAGATATTAGTAAGTTGCTTGGACTCAAACAGTTGTTAAAATCAACCATGGAAAATCTTGTAGAAGGACACCAAAATGGGAAAATAACACTTGATTTGAAAAGGAACAAAATTAGAACACACAAAAATTAACAAGAATATATTTGGAACAAAATTAGCACACACCAAAAGTTACACGGATACACTGGCTGAGAGGGAAACACACAAGGGTGAGTACGATGGGGAGGTCTACAAATCATTTTCTACATCTGCTAACAATGCTTTTGCCTTGTATGGAACCAGTGGAGAAGTTCAATCAGTTCCTAGAAACCAGAACTAATTCGGTTCTTTTTTTCCTCTTAGAAGTGATATTTGGGTGATTTTATAGCAACTTGTTATGGTTTTGTGCCTTCTTCATCTAAGGAAATTGTGCCAACTTGGACAGCTTGAAAATAGAAGAGGACAAAGATATACCTTCAACGAGAAGAAGAAGAAACGGCACCAGATGATTGTATAGCTCTTTAACGTGCATGCTCCCCATGTCCATTACAACAATCTGGTCCTGCTATATAACAAAAACTGCATAATTGTAATGGTTTATATTAAAATTTTCTAATCACTTTGAAAAGAGTCGAGAACTTGTAGTTCTCAAAAAATTAAATGAAAAAAGAACATCTGCAAAAATAAAATAAATATTTCATACAATAATAAAAAATTAAAGAAAATTAATGTTGGGCTATTGGACAGGACATAATCATCACAAATAATCCCTTCAAATGGAAAAAATAATCAAATTAACGACGACTTTGCTACAAAATTAGTACATATCTGCTGCATTATTTTGTTCAAGTATTTAGGCATTCTGCCTCACTCCTTTGCTTCTATTGTATATTGCAGATTTCTTTCTCCTTTTTCTTTTGCTAGGTAGTGGTACTTTGACCCCATATGATTTTATGTACTCTCTCTCATTAATGAAATTAGCTCTTTCTCTTCAATGAGCAGTAAGCAATAAAATATTAACTGACAGTTTGACACATGCCAATAGCTTTAATTAAAAAAGAAGAGAACTCCAATGTCAAAATTGATTTCGATTTTAATGGAATCACAAGTAAAGGACCTAAAGGCTACCTCTTCAGAACAAGCTCCCTTTTCTGAATGGTTCTCAAATGAAATCGTCTTTTCTCCAGATGCTTCACAGTGTACCACTTCCCCCAGGGGAACAACATGTCTGCTGAAGAGAAAAGCTTCAAGTAACCTTGAATATGAAAACATGTATTAGCAATAAAGTCTTACCTGAGAAGATCATTGTCAGCCGAAAACATTTGAAGAAAGTCATTCTTATTTTCAATCAATGATTCTCCAAATATGCTCTGTTGCAAAGCAAGTATCCAAAATGAGAGAAAAGACATTAGTTTGCTCCTTTCATGACAAATTTGTCAACAAGAAAGAAAAAGTTGGGTATCAGTGGTTTTTACCTGTAGAATTTGGTTAAGATCCGTGATCCCTTTGCCGCACTTCACACAGTCAAATGCACAAGTCATTATATAAAATGAGTCGGTGGAACTCAAATTCTTCATTTTATTAGAAAAGGCAATGAAATCTATAGGCATTCACTTTATTATAGAGAAGGCATTCAAACTCTAATTATCAATACAATGAAAAAATTTATTATTAATTGTATCAAATAAAAAATAAAAAAATACAAATTACACCCTGCACGGTTTAAGGACCAATACTACCAGCCTCTTTGGATTAAGCCAGGCCAACTATGCTAAAACAGGGTACCTGAAGCACGCAGCCTGGAGAGACCATTCAACAACATTCATACAGTGTTTGTGCATCCCATGACAACTCATTTGTTTTATTTTCTTTGGGTTGTTTCAGGGTGGACAAGGACAAAGAAGTTTTACAAGGGAACATAGATCATAGGGAGTAAAGTAGAACTTACATCTGATGAGCTCTCGTACACTATATCTGCATATGCTTGAAATGATACGCAATTTAACCAAACCTCAATCTGCAACCAACTAGGGTGGAATGAGTATTCATAGTGTAATTGATCAAAAAAGAAAAGACTAATGCCAGAGTTTAACATGTACATATTGTAAAAAATATGAATTCTAACACAAATGCATATCAACAAGAACATTAGGGGAATACAGATCTAGAAACAATTATTTTATGGGTAAAAGTAGGGAGAGGATGAAACAAACATTTGATTGATTAATACATTAAATTTCTTGATACTATACAATCTGGGTTGGTTAGCTTAGTTTGAAAGGTAAGAGGGGCAATTCGGAAAACATTTTTTGTGAAAGCTTTTTACTTGATAAGGGCATTGTCACAAAAACTTTAGCCAAGCCTATATTTCTGACATCTTTGTTAGAGAAGACCACTAAATCACCCCCCCCCCAAAAGACAGCGACAAAGTTTACTGGAGGCAGATGCGCCTTATGCTAAGACGTTGTGCACAAAGGCAGGGCCACAAGAACCTCAAATGGCCTGCCTGAGGCAACTAAGACAAAAGATGACCCAAACGAAAATTTCAAGTCATAGATACACATTATGGTGCCAATTGTTTATATAATACAGTTATTTTCGGATACATGGTGAAACTGGCCACGGCAGTTTCATTTGGTGTAACGAGTCTGTAATAACGATAGGGTCCTTAATCCTTATCAGAATAAATGTATCAGACATACCAGTTGCTCATGATCATGAAGGTGAAAAGATACCACGCTGAATAAAAATGAGTTACATAGGCACAGTGGAAGCAAACACATCACTCTTTAGAAACTCATGGTTCGCAAGTCTTGTCCGATTGGTGGCACTAGTGCCCACCTTTCATTTATCACAAAAAGACCAAGCACAATCTTGTTTGTAATAATGTAAATCTAAAAATCTCTACAATATCGCATCATTTTGGATCAAGACCCACATTCTAGGTATATTGACATACACACGTGTTGTGTTTCAAGTTTCAACATTGGATGGCATATCTAGTAAAATACATAAGTAGTTATTCTATATGACCAGAATTACAAATTGATTTGACATCGCAAAATAGTTGATGTTATTAGGATTGGAACAGATAAACCAATTCGATTTGTTGGGCTGTGAACCAGTCATGGTACTGGTCACGCCTAAAACCGATCCATAATTCGTCAAAACCAATCAAATCAAGTTCAAACCAGTTGAATCAGTTGGTTTAGCTAGTTGAATCAGCTTGTTGAACAGATAGAGAACAACCTATCAGACCATTTTGTCGTTATCTTATATATATATATATACATATATATATTATTTTTAAGTATTGTTGTTATTATTATATTATTATTATTATTATGATTATTATTATTTTCTTCTCTCCAGGCGAGATAAGATTGGTGAACTAGTCAATCTAACTGGTTTCAACTGGACCTGTACCTCAAAAATTTGATGATGGGTCCAGCCTTGATAACATTGGAAATAGTTGTTTGAGACAAGCTTATTAGATTATTTTGGATGTGCCCAGCTTTCTTACTCAAATATTGGGCAAGGGTTAAGGGGGTAGTGAGTGGGGTGTGGGGTACAGGGAGCAGAGAGAGCAGGGTTTTTTGGGCAAGTAGTGGAGAGGAGAGAGAGGAGGGAGGCGTTAACAAGGGCTACTCAATTACCCTATTCAAAAAGCTCTGTTTCCTCTGATGCCCTTTTGTTGTAGGAATTAAGCCAATGGTCAGCTTCATAGGAATTAATCCTATGGTCATCAACCGAGGATGAATATTGAGTATTAAAGCCAAAATAAGACAGTGAAAGTTTTCCAAGTGTGAAGCATCTCCACAAGTCAAAAGCATATTCCTTGACTCAAAGTATGATGCAGTTAATTATATAAGGTATACAACAAGTTGCATTGAGCTGCAGACAAAATGGTGACAGAGAAATTATAACTAGGCTGCTGAGGTCTCACACAATAAGGGACCTCTACCAACATCTCTAATAATGTGCATTATAAATTTTTAAATTTGGCCCATAGTGAGTACATGAGTTTAGAACCACATCAAAAGAAGTCATTCAGTACATTTCATATCGTAAGATTGTTCTAGTATCTTTTCTATATCCCAGACTACCTTAGCTTCAAATGTCTAACTGGAGTAGAACTAAAGAAAACAGGAAACTAGATTCACCTATAAGCAGAAACCCTAGTATTTTCTGACTAAAAAATACATTTTTTTATCAGTAGCATGCTTTCTTACAGGAAGTAAAATACAAATCAAAACCGACAATCACCTTTAACCCTTTGTAACCATATATCCTTCCATCTTTCCCAGCAAACTGATTCAGGTCTATTGGCTCAATACAAAATCCATTTGCACCATTCATTTCTCCCTGGCTGCTTACTACAAGGACCAAGAAAAAACAAAAGAGAAAATTTAAAATTAAAAGAAAGAAAAAACTAAAAAAATATAAGAAGAAGACAAGGCCTCAAGTAATTAGCGTCTGAATAGGAAAATTGAATTAGTGTCATTACCACTTCACAGACTCCTTCAAGTGGACCCCAATCGCATATATAGCAACTCAAATTGAAATTACCCCCATTTGGAAGGCTAAACAACTCCATAGATCAAGAAAGTTAACTATAAATGGGAAGATTTTTTACTTTCTTTTTTTCCTTTTTGCAGGTTAAAAAAGTATCTGGAGTGTTTTCTTGATAAGTGGGGAGAAAAGGGGAGACCGCATGAATAACCAAGAGAATCAAGCTGCGCAATTTTTCACTCATAAATGGGTTGAGGGAAAGACAGCCCTGTTCCCAAAGTTTGGTCCGCCCAAATGAGGCCATAGTTCTCATCTTCGATGATTATTTTTGTTTCTAACATGAAAATAAGCACAAGAGCTAAAAACATGCACAAAATTTAGAGGACAAAAAATGAAAGCAGAAAAAAAAAAACTCCATTCAGTCAACTCAGGTCTATCAAAACCTGGTCCAATCTAGACAACATTGCTCTGTTAGCCTCAGTTTGAATGTTTTGAGAGGAGAAACTCGTTACATGACAAACTCTAATTTAATTAGGCATTCTCCCTTTTTTATGAAATATTCCCTTGAAGTGAATCACAATCAACTCCTATGAGGGGCTAGAGGGCTAAGAATGATTTAATAAATCCTATTAACCCACGAACAACAAATCAATCCTACAAAGTTCTTTTCTACAACATCCATGCATCCATGATACACCCTCCAATTCCTTCCAGTATTTGGTTTCTAAACTAACTAATCTCAGATTTTAAGCTTCCAAGTTTCCAAGGTATCGCACCTGCACATCTCCATATTCTACCCTCACCCAACAAAATGCCCCTCAATCAGCATCCAGCACATGAGATTCATCAGGATCCATTATACGCATCCAACTCCAAGAAATGAGAATAAACACACTCATGTTACCACCAACCCCCATCCACTATCATAATCATACCTCTAAAGCTTTTTATTTATAGCTAATACCTCTAAAACTCCTATTATTGCACTACTTCCGTAAACCCAAGGATCATAAGCAAGCAACAACACCAAAAAAGGTGAATCATGCAAAAAGGATTCTGAAGGCCAAGAGAAAAGCAGGCATGTTAGATACTTGAGAAGGACCCAAGAGATGCCATATGAATCAATGAAATCCAAACTCCTCACAAAATTTCACAGCAGATCAAAAGATGAACCATTGTCGCCTCCTCCCCACAAAATACATAGAAGTCAAGGTACCAGAGTTACCTGTACTACTGATATGTGACTAAAAATCGCTGGGCCGCCTCAGGACTCACCCAGGTCGATTTAGATGGGGAACTCCACAAGTGGTGCAGGCAAACTTCCAACAGAAAATTTCAGGCCCGACACTCAGGGCTTTAGAGGCATTTTTGGGCCCCAATAGCTCAAGACGAAATCATACTAGTAATTTCAAATATCGGAGGAAAAAAAAGTTATGCCTATGCAAAGTTGGGGTATCATTTTAGGACTATTTTTAGGACAGTTTATGTTATTTTATTTTGTCAAAGAAAAAGTGTCAAACTCGGCACCAAATTTAATTGAGGGTTCTAATCACAGCAGATTAGGATTAGGGAGTCCAAATAACATATATAAATAGGGGCTGAGTTAGGGTTATATTCAGGGTTGACCATTGTTAGTTCAGAACATTGCTCTTGGAAATCTATTGAATTCACTAAGCCATTGAAGCTAGGCTTGTTAGTTTCCATTAATATTGAATCCCATACATTTACGTTGGTCTAAGAAGGGTGGAGACCTTAAACTTTCCCTTCACCGTTCCCAAGCCCGGATATAGGAGGTGGGTTGTGTTCGGTAGACAAGCAACATACAACTGTGACAAAACTTTTCATGAATCCTGAAGAATAGCAGACCAAGATTCGTATAGCCAACCCCAAATAGTTGGGAAACGACTCTAATGATGATGATGATGATATTTTTTTTGTTAATCAAATACGCAACAGTAGTTAAGGAAAGGAAACCCTAGGAATTGCCCTTAGTCTCACCTTCTTCTTTATTTTCTTTGTTAATTTTTTGACAGACTTGACCTAGTCTTGTTTAGACTCATTAATTCAGACTCAGAAATTCAGATAGGGACCCTAATGAGTCCCAACTAGACTCCTAGTTCTTAAAAATTGTTATAGACGCTTGTTTATGAGGATTTTCTAAGGATGAAACCAGTGTTTGAAAACTCAATCGAACTTGCCCAAGTCAATCAGAGCCAGCAGGGGACCTGGTCCAATTCAAAAACCCTAAGACATATCCGAGTCTTACCAGGTCATGGACCCTTCTTCGCTATTTTCATAGAGAGACTTGGTTAAGTTGTGGTGAGACTCTGCCGATTTGGACCACTGACTCAAGCTCGGTCATTGAATTAAACTCCTAACTGTAACCAAAATGGGTGGCACTTGAGCACCTTATACAAATCTCCCAAGATGATCATTACTACCAGATTGACAAAAGCATTTAGAGAACCATCTAATAAAGGAAATGCCCTTCGAGCACCAAAACCTAACATTTTAATTTATTCTCCTTTAGGGAATGAACACACTCTCCAACAAATGCATCTTACTCAATTAGGTATCTCCTAACCTTGAACAACACAACAACCTAGATATACCCCTAAGAGAATCCCAATGCCTATGTTCCCCAACTAACCTAGCATATATAAATAGCCTAGAAGACCTTGACCTCAACAACTAAGCCTAATCCTCAAATAGTACCACCTGCGACCGACTTAGCATGACAGGAGCAAATGGAATCTGATCAGTGCAAATCCATGGCTCTTCTTACTTGACTAAATATTGTACTACTACTAACTACCAAGTGATCCAATAACAACCCCGGCAAAAGTATTCATAAAACCTTTACAACTAACTTTATTGCATAGGAAACATATAAATAGATAAACACATACCCAAGAAAACTTTTATGCACTCATTCGCTTCAATCCCAGCATCTGCACAACAAATATGACAAGTAAGATGCATGAGACACTTCAAATAGCAACAAATTCATAAAAACAAAGAAACACTGTATCTAGATGATCTGTATCCTTAAACTAAAGGAGTTCAGCAAGAGATTCATAAAGAAACGGACATGGTCAATATGTGGTCACCAATTCCATCATAAATTTGAACACATTAAAAAAATCTGATGCATGATCGATACGAATTTTCCATCAACAAAGATGATTTTGGGGTTAAACTCCGTATACAAAAATCATGATTCAACTTCATCATATTTGTAATATAGTTATCTTTTCTTTTACAGTATAACCAAAAAAACTTTGAAGAAGATATACAAAGGCGATATATAGACGCAGATAATGTTTTCGATAACAACTAATACAAACTTCCCAACCTTTATTTTGCATTTTCATACAACAGAACCATGATCATTAGATAAATTGACCTAACTATATGAAATTGACAAGTAAAAATGTAAATGCATTTGTCTCATTCTTAACAAATACACAATATATATACACCAGAACCGTAGCATGACCAGATTGTACACTTCAACCTTCAGTATAGATTATAAAAGGAATAATCATTGCACTAATAGGAGCCGTTTGGGTACCTGTATTTCTATTACAGGGAAATAGATTACAAGGAAATATGCTATTTTCAGTGTTTGGGCACACATAAGATGGCTGGAAATGAAAACGCATTACCCAAGATTTCCCCGAAAATTGTGAAATCCATTTCACACTTGGAGAGTTGCAAAATCTATTACAGGGCTTGACGGGTAATATAAGCCTCGGCTGCCATAAAATATTGAATCGACTTCTATGTTTTGAGGTCTGCTTAAAAACCCCACTCTCTTTCTTGGATGCAGCTCCCTTCCCAGCTGTTTCTCTCTCTTCGCTGGTAAGCCTTCCGCCCTCTCCCACTTACGTTTGGTTTCTTCTCCAAAAGTAAAATCTAAGGCTTGGCTTCTGATGGCAGGCTAGTGTTCGACATAGAGATAGTGGTACAAAGCCTTCTAGAGAGCGATTGGCACAGAACTTTCTAGAGAGAGATTGGTGCAAAATTTGTCAGAGAAAGAATGGCTGAGGGGGTTACTTTCTTGAACAGGTTGATCCCTTATGTTGTGAACAAGATTGTGGTTAGAGGCTTAGCCTATAGGTGATGGGCCATCTATCTCTCTCTCTCTTAGTCATGATTTTTGGGCATTTGTTTTTGCACTTTTGTGATTGTATCTAGGGTTTTTTGGTATGATTTTCAGTGCAATAAGCTTAGATGTTTTCATATATTTTTTTCACGGTTTTTGGTGGTCTTTTGATGCTGCTAATTCATGGCTAAAGCTTCTTTATCAAGGCAACAGATGGTTTAATGAGAGCAGGGCCATTAATGGATATCAAAGTGAGGAGAAAAACAAGAGATTCGATGGAAAGGGAGAAGCTATTTCAGCTTCTAGAAAGAGAAACAAGGCCATTGTTTCACCTCCTGAGCTTTCCTCTGAAGCCATACCACCATAAGGAAACCACAATTCGAGGGTCCTTTTTTCACCATATCCACCCTAAAAAATAAGAGAGAGAGAGAGAGAGAGAGAGAGAGAGAGAGAGTGGAGGGGAGTAAGTGGTCATGCTTCATACTATCTCACATATTAGAAAATTAAGTAGTTTTAATTAATTATTTATCCTAAAAAGGAAAAAAAGGTATTTAAAAATACCACCTTACTATAGATAAGATTAACGCAATATTTCCTAGCTAAAATGTTGGTAATGTATTTCCTAGATTTCTTTCAGACATAACCAAATAGTAGCAATGTATTCTTCAGGTTGCATCTAGATACTACCCAAACAGAACAATCTATTTACAAGTAATGTATTACGCCAGTAATATATTTCCCAAACAATATATTTTTAAGTACCCAAACTAAGGTGTTACAGATATTGACAAAAAGAAGCAATAACAAGTTATATTCATCAAGTGATGGGTTTACTAACTCGTCCCTCTGCAGCACTTTCTCATGGACTTACAAGTTGAGAATTATGTTGCATCAATATATACTGCAGTTTTTTAATAGCCCATAGCAATAAGTAATAAATTTATTCGATCAAGGAAATGTAAATCCTCCAAATACTGCCTAGAAAATCAGGGCGGCAAAGAGAAAAATATCCTCAACCAACTCACCCAATTTTCTTTTACTAGGGATATAAATTAAATGACTCTGAAAGGAAACTAAGGCCCTGAATGCTCTATTTCCTCAAGAATACCACTTACCCTTTCAACAATCACTGATACAGAAAATCTATCCACATATAGGAGTAACCACAAGCAAAAAGGAAAAATAGACTGGACTTTCTTTATGAGAACCCACTAAGATCTTTATGAGAACCCACTAAGCATTTACTCATATTTTCACAACTAAAATTCAGGATGCAATGTACAAAAACTTATTATACATGGTATAAATTACAACCCATGGCTGCTAATTTGTGTGCATCCAAGCTTCCATCTTTTCCATTACGACGTCCATCAAAATATCTTTTTGCAGATTGTAATTACCACAAAGAACATTTTTCTTTGTGATTGATTACCCAATCACTAATCAATTCACTAATTGCATGGAACTTTTAGATGCCTCTACTTGTGCATTACAAAAAAATAGCAGACTCTAACATTGCTGCATTCTTATTCGTCCTTTTTCCTTTTGTGCAAATAATCATCCCGTTCTTGGGTCTAAAGTCTAAACTGCTTTGTTTCCTGTAATCCCATTGGAGTTTCAATTGAATCAAATACCCCATTTAGAAAAAATATGATAATTTCAGGATTTTCCAAACCATGGGTGCACATGGGATCCAGACTCATTGGGGCCCCATGTGATTTTCTTTTCCTGGTGTTTACCTTAAAGGGTCTGGACATGTAGAAGTCTTTTTTCTTTAAGAAATAATACCTAAATCTTTAAGGAGGGAGAATATTTTTTGTCGATAGATTTCTTATTGACATGAATGTATGGGAATCATTTTGGTGCCAATAATTATTTTTTTTCGTGAGAAAAGAAGTAAGAGAGAACCCAAGTGAGTTGTACAAGGAGATGTGTTTAGAGTTTTCTTTTGTATGAGTTCTTGAGAGGGAAAAAAGAAAGCAAGAAACCAGCACCCATAGAATCCTTTTCAAAGAGATTTTTTTGTTTGGTTTTGTTAGAGATAATAAGACAAATGAAGAGAACCTCAAGTCAAAGAAAACAGGGTTTAGGACACATTGTAAGCCCCCTTTTTATCGCCTAAGTGGATTATATTTGCCCCATGGTTTTTCTCATCCCAAACGAGTTTTCGACATATATTTTTCTGCATCATTTTCACTATATTTTTAGTGGATTGCTTCTCTATCATTACCTGGCATATCTTTTGGTGGTTTTTTGTGGTTTATTTTTCCTATTTTCGGTACTTTGATCCATTTCACGTGTAGATAGGAAGGCTGGCTTCCCAACAATGGGGACTACCTAGAAGTTAATCAGCAACTAAAAAGTAGAACTGATTACTATGTAATTGTTTGTACACATTCACAAGCAGCTGAAGGAACTAGAAATGAATCTTTTCCTAGGGTTAACTATCATAAAATTTTCCAGTTAGTTAGAGAAAGAGAGAAGGTGTACTTTCCACCATCAAATATTTCGCTATAATAGAAGAAGATCAGTTTCTCTCATGGAATGAAAGCCTAAGAGTCATATAGGAAAGATGATAAACATAACTTCCCAATTGACCTTGAGTGGGATAGCGCATGAGTAGTGAGGTCCCTATGTACGAAAAGTGACGGAGAAAAACTTGCAGTGAGTCCATCGTAAACAATGTATCACATAATACCTCCTGTATATTACTTCTACCAAGACAGAGTGCTAGGGGTACTCTTTCAGTTATGGAACAGGTTAAGTGATGTATAACCACTCTTCACATGCAGAAATAATTTGATCTCCATTGAACTATATGCCAATGTCAAGAATTTGGAAATGCAACATCGCATTGGCTCGGCTCCTAACCATGAACACCACTGAAAACCATCCAATCAAATTGATATAAAACATCTGGTAGTAGATAGTGAAGCTAAGATATTTGCCCTTTTTTCAGCAAGAAAGAGAAAGAGAGACACATAATTTCACCAGCAAAATAACATTAAATCATTAATAGAACTAGATCAATTTCAAAATACGCAACATAAACAAGAAAGATCAATATTGAAAAGATTTCAAAGAGAAGTAATAATTACATAATCAAATAACACCATTTTTTTTAGTTATATGATACCAAGCAGTAAAACAAAATTTGAACACATGTAATAGCAAAACATAGCCAAATCAATCCCTATTCAAACAAACCCCAAATAAAGGCAACTCCACAATCAAACTATCCAGTAACTAACCATCCACTATAACCTATGATAAACCCTAGAAAACCAGACGCTTAACTAACTAGGAAAAGGGTAAAAACGATGGCAGAAAAAAAGTTACAAATTGTGAAATGGAGCTGACCTATGATGGAGAATCCAACTCGCCGGCGCTTCTTCTCTGAGGATGCCCCTTCTTCCTTTTTCTTGTTCGCCATTCTTCACTGATCCTTGGGCGTAGACTTTGCGAAGAGAAAGTGGTGGAATTTCCACACAGAGATGAGAAGCGATTTGGATTAAAAACACACAAAGATAGAGAGATAGAGAGAGAGAGAGAGGGGCAGAGGCGGGAAGCGGGAAAGGTGTGTATAAGAGAAAGAGGTAATGGCGAAGAGAGAGAAAGAGGCGAGGAGAGACAGAGACGCGAGGATAGAGAGAGAGGCGAGGAGAGTGGGGGCGGGGAGGAGAGAGAGAGAGAGAGAGAGGCGGGAAGAGATCTAACGCAGAGGGGAAATTTGTCAGTATAGTGGGCCGAGTACCCACTACAGGGCCCATGGAAGAGAGAGACAGGGAGAGGGCCCGGGGAAAGGAGAGCAATGAAGGGCAAAAGCGCTTTTAAGGATAGAAATGTCCTACGGTCCCATAGGACTACATTGTGGGCGTTAACCATTGAGTCAAACATCATGACTCCATGGTGGACTTCCTATTCTTGCATCTATGGTCAGGCCATAGTGGTGATTTGGAGTATTGAGGTACACATCAATTTTTATTTATTTTTTTGGGTAAATTCATATAAATATGCCTTTTTTTTTTAAATTCAAAATTTTTTAAAAAAAATATCTCTAGAATTTGATAGTTATCTTCATGTCCCATTTTTTAACGTCACATCTAGCATTTCATTTTTATATTTTTTTCTATAAATCATATTAAGCACAAATCTTGGGGGTTCATACTTCTAAGTATTATGCATA